CCCCCACCCACCCACGCCCTCCATTTACCTTAGCTGCCGGAAGAAAGTCTCATCTGCACCTTGGAGCACATCTTGGCAGGACCCCATTCAACTTCACAACTGCACATGGAGGGCCCTGCTCATGACAACCTGACTCCTGCCTAATGTCCTCTTTCTTCCAGCGTTCTAGCTCTCAGCGGCTTGGGCCCCCATTTGCTGGCTGTTACTGGGATAGGCATGGCTTACTCCACCCTGATCTTGCCTGTCTCCTCCTGATCTTACCCCTCAGCTCACCTCCTCCCCGCCCATTTTCTCTCCGCCATCATCCTGCCACCCCACTACCCAGACTCTAGGGAAGTTCATTGTTGGGTGGCAGGGCTGTGATGACCCCCAGGGGTTATGACGTCAGCCCTAGGCACAGGAGGGGAGAGAGGTAAGAAGAGGTGAATGAGAACTGAGTAAGACATGGAGTTTGTTCTGAGATATCACTAGAGTCACAACAGAACCTGGCAAACACAGGGGCCGGCAGAAGGCTTGGAGCACAGCATGATCAAATCCTTCATGAAACGGGAATTTTGCCTTGTTAACTTCTGAATTCATAACAGATGAAATAGAAAGGACTTTGAATTCAGAGTTGCACTCCAACAAAATGAGGAAAACAAATGGGTTGAAATAAGCTTATCCATTTCTTACAAAGTGTGGAAGTTTGGGGCTGTCTACTGTGCCTATTATTAAAAGATGTCCATCGGGGTGTTACAGAAAAAGCATCAATTCCAAGAAATATAAGCTCTATATGAACTCTTCAAAACCTCCAACTTTCAACGAGAAATGATGAATAACTACAGAATACAGTTGGTAAGTTATTGTCCAATTAATTAAAATAGTGATAAAAAGAGAAAGTTATTCTAATATCAGAATGGCAGCCTTTAAAATGAGACAGTAATGCTGGGCCCTCTCTGGTTGCCTTCTTAGCAACGAATCTGCTGCATGGTACATGGTTTATAAATTTTGTTAAAGGAGAAAAGCAAAGAGTTATATGAAAATTATGGTCAACCAATAGAAGAAATCTCTAAAATCTTTTTAGAGATAAGCTAGAGTAAAAGCCTAAGGACATGAAGTGTGTTTGGAGTGAGAGGGCAGACAGAAACTGGGAAGCATATGTTTCTCCTCCTAACAAAGAAAGCAAAGAAAAAGAAAGGCAAACATAACTTCCAGGAAAAACACATACTCCTCCAAGGAAAGCTCCATGTGAAAGAAAGGCAGATTGAATACAGAACAAACTAAAATAGGTTGAGAATCTACATAAATGGTAGAGTGAAAAAACAAGGAGAATATGTTTGCTTTGATGCTCTGAATATCAGCTAGATTCTCCTCTATTAGAGTGCCTATACCAACTCAGGATGGGCACTAGAAACTGTAGTTTTAATTATGAACCATTATTTCCAAGTCCATTTTATAGAAACCAAGCACATAAAGCACTTTGATAACATTTTGCAAAAACAACTCTAAATCTAGCCAAAGTTTCACTTCCTCCCCCAATAAAAGGCTCTGTCTCCAAGAAAATAAAATCTTAAATCCATTCTCTCTCTCTATCTTTTTGTTTTCCAATTCTAAAGAAAGCAAGAAAGAAAAAGAACAAGCAAATAATTTCAAATCAATAGCCCAGGAAAATCTAGAATTCTGGGAATTGTTCTAACTAGAAATGATGCAATCCACATGCACTTTGGCCAAGAGGCAGGCATTTTTAAGTTCCTCCTGCCCCTTAGGAACACGAGGTGAAAAATGTGCTGGGTTTCATGTAACAAATTGTGCCACCATGTTTCATCACCTGAGCAAGGCTGGTTAAGAACATTTACTTGCTCAACTGTCCCTCCAGAATTTAGGAGTTTTGTTTTGATTGAATGAATGAGTGGGGCGGAGGGAGACGAAGAGGGGCAGTTGTGTTAGTATTTCTTTGGGCGTATTCCATGCCAGATGGACTCTGTGTTCATGTTGACTCCACCGAGCACACCGTTACTGGGCCATTTGTGTCCTCTAGCGCCTCAGTGGCTGCAGGACAGCGTCAAGCAGGACACATGCATCCTGGAGCCCCCTGTGCTGGGTACATCTGCACAGTCATTGAGTCTTACTTTCTGCTCTGTTGTAGCTCCCCTTCATTTTTGGTTTTCTCGTTACTAACCAGTTTTGGAATTTATGAACCTATCTTCCAAAGACCAGAGGGCACGGCCATGATCAAAGGCTGTGGTAGGATGGGTTTTCTGGAGAAAGTCCCCTCTAACCGTCTCCCTAGGCCATACTCCCTCCCTGGGAAGTTTGTCCCCCACAGAGACTTGACGACACAGAGGTTCGGTATTCCCCATCCAGACCTGGCCTGTCAGTTCCAAACAATACAACAAGGGGCTCTAACTGGTGTCCCTGCTTCCAGGCACACCCCGTGATCACACACTACGGTGGGGTCCCAGGAAGGGCTCTGCCCTGAGCAAGGTAAATAAAGGAAACATTTACCATCAGCATGCTGTTCCAGTTGGTGTTCTGTGTAGGGGGACTCCTGTGTAGCAGCTGCAAATGCGACTATTCAAAAGCTGAGCTGCAGAGCCAGCCTGAGCCAGTGTGAGGCGCACAGCTAGCTCGCACCTGAGCCAGAACACCTGCACTGACCATGCCTTTTTCTTGCCCCTAAGCCCCCTTGTCTGCTTTCAAAGTAGCTCCCTCTGCGCCCGCAGGAAGGTGCTTTGGAACGCTCCATTGCTGGCCAGGCAGTGCCATTCTGGCGCCTTCCCACGGAGCCTGTCACTGACATCCGCAGATGGCCCCCCTTGGGGCCGACACAGCAGGGCTGCGGGTCTGAGGAAGTGCCCACTTAGGGCCCTCCAGTGCACCCCGTTACCACTGCCTCTAGGATCAAATCCAGCATCCTCAGAAAAGCAGAGAGGATTCCAGCCATCAGCACCCCCTTTTCATCTCCCCTGCCCCATCCCAAGCTCCTGTTTCTCAAACACACCGTGTGGTTTCTTGGCGGTTTCTTGCCTCTCAGAACTCTGCATAAGACGCGCCTTTTCTTGGAAACAGTTTCTCAAATTGCTCCTCACCCCTCCACTCCTGCCGCCCCCCACTAAGTCACAAACTCCATTTCCCTCCCACCACAGGGCCTGGTGGCAGCCAGCCGGCACTCCCGGTAGGCAGCCCGGGACGCCCGTGCGTGGCCGAGCTCCAAGGAAACCTGCTCCCAGCCGCCTCGCAGGGCCAGCGCTTTGGGCTCTTGGTCCGGCTGCCTGCCCGCAGGGGAAGACTTTCTGCCGCTTCTCGCGCCTACTGGGCGGCTCCCGTCCATTGCCCCCCGCCCGTGATGAGCAGGCTCTGGGTCCCCTGCGGGGCTGGGAGGCCTGCTGGCCTTGCACATGGCCCTGGCGGCCTGGCCGCTGGTGCCCAGGGAGCCACCGGCCGGCACACTCGTCACGGCCGACACCTGCTGCCTCGGGCCGGCCCCACGTCCAGGCAGTGGGAACTGGGCCGAGAAGCTGCCGCGGCCCGCGTGCCGCCCGCCAGCTGCGACGGCCTCACTTACCGGGCTCTCCCCCGCCGAGGATGCTCCCTCAGCCTGGCTCAACTGCCACCAACTGCCCACTGGCCAGGATTCCTGGCTGTGCTGGGGCCCGTCCTGCCGCGCCCTGGGAACAGAACTGCTCCTCACGAGCGCTGGGCCCGCCTTCCTCGGCCGGAGCCTGCGGGTTCGGTTCAGGGGGACTCTCGGGTCCTCCCCAAGAAGCCACTCAGCGCACTGGATGTTCCGCGTCACGCGGGCCCCTGCCCAGAGGAGCAGGGCGAGCCCGGTGAGAGCGGGCCTACTTCTCCGCCGGGTCCCCAAGGCTTAGGGACGCGCAGCTGTTCAGACGGCCGTTTCTTCCCTGCAGGATTCGAAACCCCTGCTCAAGGCCGTCCACCCCCGCCACCTTGGCTCCGCCACGGGAAAGTGCTCTGGCGTAAGACCCAAGCTGTCTGGCGTTGCTGAGCCTCCGCGCACAGCTCCAGGGCTGAGACACACGAACCCGCAATGCAGGCTGCACGGGCAGCCCCGGACTCTGCAAGCAGCCCACCAGCAGCGGAGGCTCCTGCGCGAGACCCAGCAGGGAGGCCGGAAGCCTGCGGGCAGCCTGGGGCCCGGGCGGGGGGTGACGCTGGGCCCAGGCAGAGCGAATGGCAGTGTGTGTGTGCAGAGCAGGGCACAGCACCAGCAAGTTCTGAGCTCAGCTGGAGGGCCTGGCAGGCTGGCGCCAGGCTCAGGCCGCGGCAGGTGGCAGGAGCCTGTCGGGCGGGAGAGTGAGCTGCAGAATTGCAGAATGTGGGGAGCTTGGAGGGGTCAGGGGCAGCGCAAAGACGGACGCGGGCGGCCTCGCCTTGCGGCACTTCGCAAAATGCTTTTTTTTTTTTTACAAATGGAAGGTCTGTGGGAGCCCTGCCTGGAGCAAGCCTGCCGCGCCTTCCCGAGCGCAGGCTCTGTCACGGCGAGTGAAGCGTGCACCTCCTCACACAGGCCACTCTGCACGTTCAGAGTGCAGCCGTCGCGGGGACGACAGACCGCAGTGAGGACACGTTAGAAACCGCTCGTGGGCCGCCCCGGTGGCGGGGCTCTGACCCACCACGCGAGCACCAGCCGCTGCCGCAGGGTCCATGCTGCCAGGGAGGGACCCCGGGGCGCAGCAGACCTCTCCCTGTCCCCGCTGCCCCCCTCAGCGGTGGACTTCAGTAGATCCACCTGTTCTGCTCCCCGCTCTGTCTCGGGGAGTCCTCTCACCCCCTGCACCTCTGGCCTGCACCCCAGCTCTTGTGTGCCCAAATAAATAAGTCTTTAAAAAATAAACTAATCCTAGTGTCCCCCACTGCCCGGGGGCTGATGTCACCTTCAGAGCTACGGCCAACCCAGAAAGCGCCAGGCCGGGCCCGCGCGGACGTGAAGCGGGGGCTCGGCCGTGGCGCCCCCTCCCTGCCGGACCAAAGTGGGTGGGCGTAGCCACTGCACTCACGTTGATGTTGGACGACCACACATTGCGAATCCATCCAGGGTCTCTCATTATTGGAATCTGCAAACCAAGAACACGAGAAATTAAATGATGGAAATGTTCTGAAATTAGCATCAGCGTGGCACCGACGTGGCACCGAC